TCCATGGGCAATTTCCTCTTGCATGGGAAAATGTTTGTACTGCAACCTTTTAATAAAGACTGTTGCCATATCCTCCTTTTCTGATGTCAGTAGTTTAGCTAGAATTAAAAAAAAAAATTGTGCCCACATTTCTTGGCAAGTTTTTCAGAAACAGTTTGCTGTTGTCTTGTCTCAACGGCTGAGAGAGTGTCTGACCCAACCAGTCTTGCACGTAAAATAGGAGCATAGCTCAAAGTCTCCCAATTTCTAGCTGAGTAACTTAACCACTATCCCAAATTTTATTGTCTAAACTCAATGACTTAAATGATAAAAGATGGATCCCCCAGTTAATGAATTATGCATATACATTTTCAATATAAATAGTAGGGGGAGGGAGTAAGATTAGGCTTATTCAATTTGATCTCGAAACACAGACATCCTAACTATTCATTTATGTCAGAATATAAAAAGTGGTTCAGATTTGCATGAATGAGTCAACTGTATCCTCTTGCTGTCACAACAGCCCAAACTCTTTACTAAAACTGAAAGCACACAGATGTGACTAAAGATATTATGCAGTGTCTTAATTCAGCAACTAGCTGCAAGCCTTTTTCCCCACAAAAAGCAGCTCAATATTTGAATCAACATTAATTTTGGTTGGAAAGATAATCATATAAAAACATGATTAGGATTTTATGTATTATGTAAGTGCTCCTGTCCCTCACTATCTGCAGTTGTTTCACAGTAGGCCCCATGCTTAGAAGGAAAGAAATGAGGCAGTCAGCTGAGCAAGGTATCATCACCTTGCTACTTCTATTGTATCTGATGGATGCTGCAAAGTTGCTCTAATTAGAAAGGCTTCTAATCAGAACTCAATAATAATTCCAAGCTGGGAGGAGGGAACAGAATATTTGACCCCTCCCTCTCCCCCCCCACTTCTTCCTGCTGCATCCTCTCGCCTCACAATCAGGAGGCTGTGAGTTCAATCCTAGGTTTTTATTTGCTATCAATGCTGCTTATATTTGGAATAGACTCTCCTGCTGGAGCAGGGGGGTGGACTACATGACCTCCAAGGTCCCTTCCAACTCTGTTGTTCTATGTTCTACCCAGGGGTGGGATTCAAATTTTTTAACAACCGGTTCTGTGGGTGTGGCATGGTGGGTGTAGTTAGGTGGTCATGTGACTGGGTGGGTTAAAAGAAAGAAACTCACTTTAACAAAGCTCTTGGAGCAGGGGGGTGGACTAGATGACCTCCAAGGTCCCTTCCAGCCCTGTTGCTGTGCTGTTTCAAAGCATCCTCTGAAGCTGCATCTAGTGCCAGGGTTTGTGGTCTTTCCTTCCTCTCCCTTTTCTCTCCCTCCCTTCTTCCCTCTATCCATCAGTCCATCCACCCATCCATTTCTCATTCACTTTCCCTTCCCTCGTTCTCCCTTCCTTCCCTTTCTTTCTTTCTCCCTTCCCTCCCTCCCTCTCTCCTTTCTTTCTTTCTTTCTTTCTTTCTTTCTTTCTTTCTTTCTTTCTTTCTTTCTTTCTTTCTTTCTCTTTCTTTCTCCCCCCTCTTTCTCTTTCTCCCTTTCCTCCCTCCCTCTTTCTTTCTTTCTTTCTTTCTTTCTTTCTTTCTTTCTTTCTTTCTTTCTTTCTTTCTTTCTTTCTTTCTTTCTTCTTTCTTTCTTTCTTTCTTTCTTTCTTTCTTTCTTTCTTTCTTTC